ATTTCTCCTGATGCACAGCCACTCCCTTGATTCCTGGCTGCTTGGAACCAGGTCTGCTGTCCTTCCTCTGAGATATCCCTGCGCTCCTGTTGCTACAGCCTGAATGAAACCACAGCCCAACTGATGGGCATTCTGTCTCTCCTATCTTCATAAAGAGGGGATTGTGTTGGGGGATTTATTTATAGTCCCAGAGATAAAGTGTCTGTTGGAAAATCAGCAGCTGACAGTATGGGTGACAAAGGCACTCTTGATAATAGACAGCAGATGACCAGGGGCCCATTGCCTCCGCAGAAAACCAGTGAAGCTCAGCTCTGGAGTGAGGCTTTGCTGCGACTTCTAGAGGCTGGTAGAGGTGTGATTCTACCCGATGACTGGACAACAATGTCTTGTGGGAGGTAATCTCCAGCAGAGTTGACTTACCCTTGAAATCAACTATCCCCAAGTGCTAGGCACAAAGACTTGATCCTCCCCTGTCAAGGGGCTCAGGTTGCCAAGAGGTGGGTTGGAGGCAGAAGCCCCTTGAAGAGTGAGACTGTTCCATTGCGTGTCTACAAGCTCTTACCTTTTGAGAGGTGGGTCTGGGAGGCCCCTAGCCTGCTCTCTCATAGGGAAAAAGGCCTGTGGTCAGCTATGGAAATCCTGGGATGAAAGCAAGGTTTCCCCTTCATTCTGATGCCTTGGTCAGCCCTCCACACTGGATTTACAGCCTGGTGCCATCCAACAGGGACACTTGGCTCCATCTGGACACAAGGCCTCCAAACACCACATGGAACTACAAACTGTCCGGTCAGGTCCGGATGCTGGTGCCAAGGACCTATTACAACCTAAGAACTTGGGGCTCTGGGGATGAGTGAAGTGGATTCAGTGTTAAAAAATCCCCTCAAAAGACATATCAAATGTTGTGTGTGTGTATATGTGTGTGCACATGAGATTTTTCTACAGAAAGCTTCCACAGCTTTCTAACATTTTTTCTTCAAGAGATGAGGTCACTCTGTTGCCCAGGCTGAAGTGCAGTGGCATGATCATAGCTCACTACAACCTCCAACTCCAGGGTTCAAGTGATCCTTCTGCCTCAGCCTCCTGAGTAACCAGGACTACAGGCATGTGCCACCATGCCCAGATCATTTTTAAAAAAAATTTAGTAGAGAAGGGGTCTTGCTATGCTGCCTAGGCTGGTCTTGAACTCCTGGCCTCAAGGGATACTCCCACCTCAGATTCCCAAAGTGCTGGGGTTACAGGTGTGAACCACCATGCCTGGCCTTCTAACACTCTCAAAGGGATTCATGCTCCCTAAATGGATAAGAACCACTGCCATGCTACAAATATTCAGGGACTTCAAATAAATATCCCCTAGTCACATCCCTTCATCCTTGGCCAGGGAACGCCAGGGGCACCAAATTCTCCAGCAGTCTGTGGCTGGGCTTAGGAATCCAGGCTTCCTAACAAACGCCCTGCATTTGCAGGCATTTGTTGCCATTGGCCTTGTCCTGGGGTTAGCAATGAACTGATAAGTCAAGCTGAAGACCTCATAGAGTTGATTGATCTCCTAGAAGCTGACAAGTAGGAGGCTGTGTGCCCCCAAGAGAATGACTGGTATCTATGGGATCAAACTCAATCCACTTTCTGTTTCCTACAAATATTTTCCAGTAAGAATGTAATTGGGGCCAGGAATGTGGCTCATGACTGTAATCCCAGCACTCTGGGAGCCTCAGGCAGGAGGATCACTTGAGGCCAGGAGTTCAAGACCAACATGGGCAACACAGTGAGACCCTGACTCTATAAAAAAAAAATTAAAAATTAGCTGTGTGCAGTGGATCTCACCTGTAGTTCCAGCTACTCAGGAGGCAGAGGTGGGAGGATTGCTTGAACCTAGGAGTTGGATGGTGCAGTGAGCTATGATTTCGCCATTGCACTCCAGTCTGGGCAAAAGAGTGAGATCCTGCCTCTACAAATAAGAAAAAATAAAAAATGTAATTGGACATCAAAAACAGGACTGCAGAGACACAGGATATGAAAATGAAATGGAAACATATGGGCCTCACCAAGATGCTGGGGTGGGGCTGCCTTTCCTTCTAAGTGCTCAAACCTGGGTTTCAGAGCCTATGCTGAGTTCACAACAGCTACCAGAATCACTGCTGTGTATTGTCTTAGGTTCAATAGACAAGGCTTACTTGGCTCACTGAACTGTCTTTGTGAGCCTTTAATATTCCTGTAAGAACGGTAAATGGCAACAAGACAGAAACCCCTGTTCTTCTGAGCTGTTTGCAGTTCTAAGAAGTACACAGGCAGTTATTACATTAAAACCATGCCCTAGATGCTGGCAACATTGCCTTGCATTCTGTGGGAGTTTTCAAGGAAGAAAGGCTGGGTGGCACAGAGCAGAAGCCCAAAATATGCCAGATGCCTGAGACCTGAGGTCTGACTCTAACCCATGGGGGTAGCTTAACCATGTGCTCCCCAGCATCCCCGTTGCCTCTGTCCTCGATGGGTAGAACAGGATGAGGTTTGCCACCTGGTCGATTCACAGATTCTCTTTGTTTCTGAACTGCTTTGATATGGCATCTGGGAGGCACATTCACTCTGGGGACCCATGGTGAAGGGGCATCTGTCAGACTGAATGCAAAATAAGTGGATAGAATTTTGTGGCTGCAGGCTTAGTGCCCCCAGAGAGATCAGCTAATGTGAGCAAGACTTACAGAGGCTCCGCTGAAGTCACTCCTCCTCTGTGGCTAACCTGGTTGCAGGCCTTACTTGCTGGCTGTGACAGCTGCCTCTCCGCAGGCTGAGACCATGTGGGGCAAAGCCTGTGTTGTGTCCCTGGTGGCTCACATGGCGTCTTGTGATCAGTGTGCATTTGTTCAATGCCAGTGGGAATTCACTGAATGGTAGCCACAAGTCAGGCCAGAACCCACCCGATTCTGACTGTGCTCTGAAGTGTGTGCCCAGGTCACACCACGTATCTCTGAAAGAGGAAAGTCTCAAGGGATGATGCACTTCCTATTTCTCTACCACAAAGCCCTGCAGGAGAAGGTGATTCTGTCCTCATGCTTCTCGGAGCCCTTGAGGGAGAAGTGTATCAGAAAAACCCAGACAGCCGCCATCATGCAACTCCCTGTTGTAGCCAAACATCTTCTGTGCCGGGTGCTGTTCTGGGCATGCGACACCTTTCATCTCCCTGCACCGCAGTTGGTGCCGTCATTGTCCACATCTTACACGTGAGGGGGCCAGCCCAGAAAGGAGAAGGGACCCACCCAGGTGATGGCCTAGTCCCTCCCACACTCCCACTTCCCAAGGAGGCAGAATGAATGGCTCCTCCTCGTGTGCCCATGGCCTCAGCATTCAGGCCAGGATGGAGGGTGCCAAGCTGTCATCCAAGCTCCTGAGGGCGGGAACCTGTTTATGGTCTCTTGTTACCTCTCACTCAGCAGAGTGACAGGCTCATGGCAGCCTCGCCAAGGTGTTCACTGAGATACTGAATGAGGGGAGACTATCCAAAATCACCACACCAGAGGTTTCCAGAAGACACTGTCCCTGCCCTGGGGTGCAAGTGTGTGTGTCCGTATACATGTGTGAGAGTGTGTGTATGTTTCTGTATATGTGCGTGAGAGTGCGTGTGAGGGTGCGCCTGTGCCCCACAGCCACTTTTGCTGGGCCTCCAAAGCCTGGTGGAACCAACCAGCATTAAGCTAGACATCCTATATTTTGCTAGAGCAAAAGTACTTTTAAAAATATTGTTTAGAAGTTTTTTTTAATATTTCAAAAAGTCAAAGTAGTTTTAAAAAATCTGTGTGACTTTAAAGCCAGTAATCCACTTCCCGATTATCCTAAGCACCATCGTGCCACGCCTCAAGTCACAGACTGAATCTGTGTGGGCTGAGCAGACCACAGGCGGGATGTGGGCCTGCGTGAGTGAGGAGTGACTGATCCTGTGTAGCAAAGAGACTGTGGCCACCAAACACATGAAAGGATGTTACCAACATGCCACTGTCATCACATGCTCCAGACACTTGTCCTTGGAATGCAGAGAGGTAAAACAGATAATTATGTTTCCCTTTTGAAAATCCTGAGTTATGTTAGAGTTAGGAAATAGGTCTTACAGTTATTAAGGACAATGATGTGTTGGACCCACTGGAGTCTATGGACTCACAGCACATCTAAAACTCAGCAGGGAACATGACAATGGTGGTTTATCCTGCATCCTGAACTCTGCTGCCACCCAGCTCCACCTGTGAACTGGTGACACTCCAGCCTCCCGGGCAAAGTGACAGTGGCCATTCTGAGAGCTGACCCTGTTGCTCTGGGTGTGCCCCTGGGGGATGTGATTGCTTTAGACATCGCAAAGATCTAAGAGGCGAGTACAATTTCTCCATCCTACTGAGGGGGAAACTGAGGCTGGGAGAGGCTCAGTGCCTTGTCTCAGGAGAAGCAGCTGTCGGTGGGGCACGGAGCCCAGTTTCTCAAATGAGCATGCAGAGACAGGAGAGGCCGGGAGCAACTGGAAGGGGGCAGGCCCCGTGCCCAAGCCACATGCCTGGGCCAGGCCCTTATTCTCCACAGGGGAGAGGACAGCCTACTCTGTCTCATGGCTGGCAGAGAGGCCTGTAAGTGCATATGGAGAAGAGCCTAGAGATGGCACAGCACGCGCCGCTACTGGAAGGGCAAGGATGCGTGCACTCCTCAGGGGCACACAGCTGCAACTGTGGCTGCAAAGGGACAGCATGCCCTTTGTCTCCTGAGGAAACACTGTAAGCGAAGGGCACAGGAACTTACAAGGACTTGGCATGCACAGGGACTCCGCCTGGCCTTGCAGGAGCTCCGGCGTCTTGTGTCTAATGCAGATGTCCCGCCTGAGCTGTGGACCTTGACGGGAAAAGTCACCATTTCACTGCGACGGCCAACTCTGTCCCAAAGAAATGACCACTGTGATTTTACACCCGTAATCTGTGCAGTACACGAACGAGAAAGAAAAACAGTACAGGACTCCCCATGCGAGGGGCACATCACACAGCATTTCACATTTTATTGCCATCATCACTGTGAGCAGAAGAGCCACAGCACCATCTTAGGAATGCAGGATGGAAGGCTCTGTGCATAGGCCACCTGCTCAGACCACGATGACATGGTGGTTTGCTTGACCCACTACGGTTTACTAAAAGGCTACCACACAATTAGAAACTGCACAATTATAACAATGTGATCTTCCGGTAATCAAAAACAAGGCACAGTTGGGCCACCCAGGAGCTCTGCTGAGCCACCTAGACTTCCAGGTCACGTCAGGTGGAAACTGTTTTCTCCTTCCACCTGAGGATCACTGAAAAGAGGAAAACAAACCTCAGCTAGAAACACCATTGCCTGCTGAGTGAAAGCTGGGGCTTGGCCCATGTGGCCTAGAGACACGTCCCTGCAGAGCCCCGGGCCAGGCTCCCAGTGCTGGTGAGGCGCCCTCACTCCAGCACGGGCAGCAGCACTGAGGGGTCCACCTGTGCAGCCCGCAGTCCCTGGCACAGGCTCTGGAAGGTGGCCTGCTTCCCAAGGCGCTGCCGCCAGCGCACAAAGGCCTCCACCACCTGAGAGTGCATGTTGTGGGGGTGGCTAGCCTTGCAGTGGTAGATGTCGGCATGTGACAGCCCCAGGGTCAGCACCACGGACTCCCACTCAGGGCCCAGCCGCTGGGCCAGCTGGGAAATCTGCCGGTCCGAAGGGGAGCTGTTGAGGATATGTGAAGGAATCTCTGACATTTCATCACCTGGGGAGGAAAAAGACACGAGGGTGAGATGGGCGACATCCCCAGGCAGAGCGAGAGGCTGAGGGATGCAATGACACCTCTGATGGTGGGGCCACCGCACCTCGTCTTCCTGTTCAGCACAAGACTGACTTCCGGGGCTTCCAATAGGCATTGAGTGTCTATGTGCCTGTGTCCGCTGAGTATGGAAAATCTGAAAACAAGAAGATCAAGATAACAAGCAACGTTATCTTGAGATAAGCAATGAGAAGCCCACTAGTAATGACTGGCCCGTTTCCTTTCACGATGGCTAAGGCCTGGGGTTCCCTTGCCCACATGCCGAGCTCCAGGCTGCTTTCTTTGCATGGCTTCTCCCCCAGGCCAAGCAGGGCGTTCCTGGCATCTAGGAACTGGTTGGCCCCAGTTTCCTGGCATGGCCTGGGGCCCTGCGGGGCCTGCCCAAGCCCGGGGTGCTCCTCCCTGCAGGGCAGGCAGGTGCTGGAGGGCAGAGGCCAAGCCAAACAGCCCTGCTCTCCTGGAAAGCTTAAACTCGAAACTGACCAGGAAAGGTGCAGCTCCCCAGAAGCCAGAGCCAAGAGCCTGCAAGGGAAGCATATTGCCGGGTCGAGGGGCAGAGGGGCCAGAAGGGCCAGAGGGGACAGTGGGGGAGTTGGCAGAGACCACACAGGTGAAGCTGCCACCATGGCAGAGCCTAGACAGGGACAATCCATGTCAGGGGATAAAGGGAGCCCTAACCTCATGCTTCCTAAATCAGGTGCCTGTGTCTGAGGCCCCTCTGCTGAGAAGGGCAGAAGGGAGTGTGGTGCGTGTGCCGCGGGTCACACAGAAAGGGGGGAAGGAGGCTAGGTCAAGCCCTGAACATGAGGAGAAGCAGGGGAGGGGGAAGGAGGGCTGGTGTGTCCTGTGCACAGGGAACTGCAGGTGCAAAGGCCCAGAGGCCCAGAGGCAGGGTATCCCACACATCAGAGGCCGCACAGACATTCACAATGGCCAAGGGCCAAGATGGAGGGGAACCCAAACCCCAACATGATGGTGCGGTTTACAATTAGGGTTGGATGTCGGTACAATAGCACCTGACACCACACGCCTGCCCTGCCACCTCCTGGAGATTTGGGTCAATCCACTTCACGGGTACCAGTCCTCTGTCTCAATTTATGTGTCAACAAGAAGGCAAAAGGCCTTGGTGTCTCCAGTGCATGCCCTTGACTCCAGGCAGCTGCCAATCCTCAGGGATGAGTTGCAAAACACTGCCAAGGGCTCTTGCTGGTGTTTGTCAACACTGCATTAATCAAAAGACTAATAAACAATTAGATTGATGATGACACCGCTGCTTGGTATTTTATATCAACAGTAATGATGTTATGGCTTTTATACAAATATGGGTCATTTACAAAATCTAAACAAAGAAAAAAAAGTACAAAGAAGGAAGTAGACCCCCCGCTGCATTTACAGTTGGTGGATGTTACTCTGGACGTGTCTTGGGTACACGTACTGCTGGAGGGACAGGTGGCCGGCAATGACTTCATTTAAGATGAAAATGCGAGAGCCTCTTTCTAATGAGCTGTCTAATTTTGTGTCAATTTAGCAGAAGCAAAAGCAAAAGCGAAAAAAAGTGACATTCTGACCTGTAGTTACAAATTATACACTTAAACACACACACAATTTAACACATAGAAAAGGTTATGGAAATTTAAGAGGTTACTACATGTCTTCATGCTAGTGCAATATAATTACCACTTTACACTCCCTGTCCCTTTTCCTCACACTTGATTTTTTTCTTATGTCATTTTTTATTGGGCCTGGTGCCTAATACTTACATGTTTCTATAACAATAACCCACCCCCCAAGTTGTTCAGACTATAAGACTAATGGTTATAACAGTTGGAATGTTTACCAGTGTTGTGCTGTTGTTTTTGTTACTGTTTTCAACTGTGGCTTTTCCACTCCTGGGTCTGTTATTCTGATTTGAGTCATCTGGGCAATTTCGTCCCAAGGGCGGTTTTTTCATAAATGCCAGTGGTTGCAGTTATATTCCCCGATCAATATGGCCTGCTCACCTCTTCACTGGACTACAGCTTGTTATGTATGATGCACTTTTATATTCCTTCTATCTTTTTATATTCTTTATAGTAGTATAGCTTTAATGCATGAATGTCTCTGTGCCTGTGTCCGCTGAGTATATTGAAAATTTAAATAATTTTGTCCCCGTGTGGGTCTGTAGACGTGTTTGTGTTTCATGGCGGGAAGGTGGCTATGAATTCTGACCCCAACCTGGCTATCCAGCACTTTGTGTAACTGGTTTTTCTGTCTGAGGTCGAAAGGGTGGAAGCTTTGAACCAGGACATATCTTTGCCACCTACCTCTGCATTTCCAAAGACCATCTGACCAAAGATTCAGTTCTTACTTCCAGAAATCCCCCAGGCTTGCAGCCACACCCCTTTTCTGCTCTGTGGACAGCCGTGAGGTCACTCCCCCTCTTACTGCTTTAATCCCTCCCTGGGATTCTCTTGCTCTCCCTCCGTGCCGTTAATTTGGTTTTCAGCTGTGTGAGTTGTGTAAGTGTGTACACGTGTGTGTGCCCGTGTGTGTGTGCCCATGTGTGTGTTTTCTGGTTCTAACCTAGTCTTGTGTTTTTGTTCTTGGCTGCTTTTCCTGGCTCTGTCCTTTGCAAATCCCACTCCACCTCACATATGCTGGGATGGCCCCTCTGGAACACCGGGAAGCACCAAGTGTTAGCAAGGGTGTGGGGGTACTGGCCCATGCACTCTTGGCTGACTGTGAAGGGTGCAGCTACTGTGGAAAGAGCATGGTGGTTCCTCAGAAACTTAAAAATAGAGCTGACGTGGGACCCAGCAATCCCATGTCTGGGTATCTGAAGAACTGGAGGCAGGGACTCTAGAAGAACCTTGTGCTCATGTGCACAGCAGCACATTCACGGTGGCCGAGGCACCCGGATGCTGCCCTGGTGTCCATAGATGGGTGAGTGGGTGAAGAAGAGGTGGCAGATACACACAGTGGAATATTCCTCAGCCTTGAAAAGGACAGAAATCAGGACACAAGCGACAACACAGATGGACCCCAGAAACTATGCTGAGTGGAATAAGCCAGTTGCAAAAGGACAAGCACTCTGATTCTTTTTTTTCCCCACATGAAGTCTTTAGAGTAGGCAAGTTCAAGAGATGGGGGTAGCATAGGGGTGGCCAGGACTGGGAGGGGAATGGGAATCAGCGTTGATGGGTGCAGAGCTCCAGTCCTACAAGATGGAGAGTTTGCAGGTTAAGGGCAAAGCATCATGAGTTACTGACCTCACTGCACCGCACATGTGAGGGTTACGGTGGCAAATCCCATGTTATGTGTATTTTACCACAATTTAACATAAAAATGAAAAAGAACCCCACTGCTGGGAACACTATCCCATCTTGAGATTTTGCTTCTACTGAACTGACACTGGGAACTGCTACAGCCCAAGACACTGGGCTGCGTCTCTGGTACCGGGTTTCCCTTTGGGCCAGATGTGCTGTTCCAAGCTGCGATCCCATCCTTCATTCCTTCGCTGTGGCCTTTCAGAGCTGACACCCAGCACCTCGCTCACGACACACGTCTCTGTCCAGCAAGTCAGCATATCTTACAGTGAGTGGGTGCATCTTCCAACACACTTTGCACTCTTTGGGTCCTGAAGTCTTCCTCCCCTGAGCTGCAGTCTGCGGTCTGTGGTCACCTGCTGCTTCCTGTGTACCTCCTGCCATGGAGAGGGTATGACTCGCGGGACCCGCCTGCCTGGAGTCCTAGCTCTCTGCTCTTTTGGAAGCCGGCTGGTGTCTCAGACCAGAGCCTGCGGCCTAGCCAGGTGTGCTCACATATGGTCCCTTTTCCATGCCTCAGGTCTGAGACAGGGGCTGCCCTGGCCAGGTCCTGCCGCTGCTGAGGGTTTCAACATTCACCATAACCTTACCTGCTCACCTGCTCAAGCAGCTCCCTGGTACTGGCCTGGATGGGGAGAACCCCTAGGAATCCGTCCCCACCTACTTTTCCTGGAGCTGCTTCTGAGGGGCCAAGTGGGCGTGTCCTTCCCTGTCTGCCACTTTGCCAAGAGCCTGGCGTGAAGTGGAATCACTGTTTGCTTCTCTGCTGCTGTGAGCTGGTCCTGGCTCTGTTTGGAACTGCTTTCTGGTTTAAGCTGCCGGGCACTGGGCAGGGAGCATCTGTGTTCCTACCACTCTGTCGTCGTCCTCTCTCACTCCCACCAACTATGAACACGACATACACCTTGAGTCAGTGATTCAGGAGTAAGAACAGGGTTTACTTGGAGTCTTGCACACAATCAGGCTATCCCTGGAAGATGGCATATTAAATAAACCAGTCCAGAGCGACCTGAGCACCCTGCTGGCAGCTCGAGCCCTTCAGCTGGATACCCTTACACACAGCAACGACCACAGCCAACTACACTGTTCACTCTGTGGACATCCTCACGAGGTCCTCCCAGCTTGGGGATTCTGCAGTCACTTAAGAATGAGAGCACATGCTTCAGTGCCACCTCTCAAGAATGTGCCACATAAAATCAGCCTGGGTTACCAATGCATCCACCGTGGCAATCTGGCCACTTCCTAAGGCCAGCGCACATCCACCAGCGCATACAGCATGATATGGGTGTGCATGGTGACTGTGCTGTGTTACCACAGTCATGTGTCTGCTGTGACAGGGTTAGGAAGGCACAAACAGTACTCCAGACCCATGCCTGCAAGGATCAAGAAACGCAAATTAAAAAGTGAGTTGAAAAGCCAATCGATGCCCAGACACAGTGGCTCAAGTTGGTAATCCCAGCGCTTTGGGAGGCTGAGGAGAGAGGACTGCCTGAGCACACAGGTTCAAGACCAGCCTGGACAACATGGTGAGATCCTGTCTCTACAATCAAATAAAAAAAAATTAGCCAGGCATGGTAGCATGCACCTATAGCTCCGGCTACTTGGAAGGCTGAGGTGGAAGGATCGCTGAAGCCCAGCAGG